CTGTAGCACGCCAGATTTCTCTGTCCTTCACCATCTCCTGGAGCTGGCTCAAACTCAAGTCCATTGAATCGATGATGCCATCCAGCCATCTCATCTTTTGTCGCCCCTTCTCCTCCTGCCCTCAATCTTTCCCAGCAACAGGGTCTTTGGCCAGGGGCTTATCCCTTTCCTCCCCTTACCCCAGGACTCTCCCCTCTTCCTCTGCAGAAAGAGCTCAATGAGGACATCCAGGTGATCCCTAATGCCCAGCAGGGGTCCAAGAGCCCAGCCCGAGCAGGCAGGGAGTCAGAGGCCCTGAGGTCCCAGCTGGAGGAGGAGAGGAAGCGGGTGGCCCAGGTGCAGCGTGAGCTGGAGGAGCAGAGGAGCCAGCTGCTGCAGCTGAAGACCCAGCGGCCCGTGGAGAAACTGGAGGAGAAGGAAGTGGTGGAGTTCTACCGGGATCCCCAGCTGGAGAGCAACCTGTCCAGGGTGAAGTCCCAGGTGGAGGATGAGGGCAAGAAGCGGGCCGGCCTGCAGGCAGACCTGGAGGCGGCGGCCCAGAAGATCATGCAGCTGGAGAGCCAGAGGAAGGCCACGGAGCCTCATCTGCTGACCAAGGAGGTCACCCAGATCGAGAGGGACCCTGGCCTGGACAGCCAGGCGGCCCAGCTCAGCGGTGAACTCCAGCTCCTGCAAGAGGAGAACACGGCCATCTCGGCCCGGCTAGAGGCGCTGAAGGCGGAACTGCTGGCCCTTGAGAAGAAGGAGGTGAACGTGAAGGAGACAGTTGTGGTGAAAGAAGTAGTCAAGGTGGAGAAAGACCTGGAGATGCTCCAGGCGGCCCAGGCCCTGAGGCTGCAGATTCAGGAGGATGCAGCCCAGCGGAAGGGGGCAGAGGATGCCGTGACCAAGCTGCAGGCTCGAGTTGTGGAGCTGGAGGCGGCAATCCGCGCCGTGGAGCCCAAGGTGATTGTGAAGGAGGTGAAGAAGGTGGAACAGGACCCCAGACTCCTGCAGGAGGCATCCAGGCTGAGGAGCCTCCTGGAGGCACAGAGGAATGAAAATGAGGTGCTGGCCAGGGAGCTGAAGGAGCTGCATAGCAAGCACAGCGTGGTGGAGAAGCAGAAGCCCAGGGTGGACCTGCAGGAGCGCGTGCAGGAGACCTTCCAGGTGGACCCGGAGACGGAGCGGGAGATTGCGCGGCTCCGGGCAGAGCTGCAGGAGACTGCCCACAAGAGGAGCGGGGTGGAGCAGGAGGTGGAGCGGCTGCTGCCCGAGCTGGCAGTGCTGCGGGCACAGAAGCCCACCGTGGAGTACAAGCAGGTGACGCAGGAGCTGGTGCGGCACGAGAGGAGCCCCGAGGTGCTGCGGGAGATCGACCGCCTGAAGGCCCAGCTCAACGAGCTGGTCAATGGCAGCGGGCGGGCCCAGGAGCAGCTCATCCGGCTGCAGGGGGAGCGCGATGAGTGGAGGCGAGAGCGCTCCAAGGTGGAGACCAAGACTGTGAACAAGGAGGTGGTGCGCCGTGAGAAGGACCCCGTCCTGGAGCAGGAAGCCCAGCGGCTGCGCCAGGAGGTGCGGGAGGCCACCCAGAAGCGGCGGGCGGCTGAGGACGCGGTCCATGAGCTGCAGAACAAGTACCTGCTGCTGGAGAGGCGGCGGCCCGAGGAGAGGGTGGTGGTGCAGGAGGTGGTGGTCACCCAGAAGGACCCGAAGCTCCGCGAGGAGCACAGCCGGCTGAGCCAGAGCCTGGATGAGGAGGCTGGCCGGCGGCGGCAGCTGGAGCGGGAGGTGCAGCAGTTGCGGGCCATTGTGCAGGAGGACGAGGGCCGGCTCAGCTTCCAGGAGGACCGCAGCAAGAAGCTGGCTGTGGAGAGGGAGCTGCGGCAGCTGACCCTGAGGCTCCAGGAGCTGGAGAAGCGGCCTCCGGCGGTGCAGGAGAAAATCATCATGGAGGAGGTAGTCCAGCTGGAGAAGGACCCGGACCTGGAGAAGTCCACCGCAGCCCTCCGGCAAGACCTGGCCCAGGAGAAGACCCAGGTGACTGAGGTGCATCGGGAGTGCAAGAACCTGCAGGTGCAGATCGATGTGCTCCAGAAGACCAAGGCGCAGGAGAAGACCATCTACAAGGAAGTGATCAGGGTGGAGAAGGACCCGGTGCTGGAGGGAGAGCGTGCCCGGGTATGGGAGGTGCTCAACCGGGAGCGCGCGGCCCGGGAGAGCCGGGAGGAGGAGGTGAGGCGCCTGCGGGAGCGGTTGGAGCGGGCTGAGGCGCTGGGGAGGACCTGGACGCGGGAGGAGGCTGAGCTCCAGAAGACCCGGGACCGGGCGAGCCAGGAGTGCAGGCGGCTGCAGCAGGAGCTGCGGGAACTGGAGAGGCAGAAGCAGCAGCGGGTGCTGCACCTGCAGGAGGAGTCCAAGCTGCTCAGTCAGAAGACAGAGAGCGAGCGGCAGAGGGCAGCCCAGCGGGGCCAGGAGCTCTCGCAGCTCGAGTCAGCCATCCTCCGTGAGAAGGACCAGATCTACGAGAAGGAGCGGACCCTCCGGGACCTCCACACCCAAGTGAGCCGGGAGGAGCTCAACCAGGAGACCCAGACGCGGGAGACCAACCTCTCCACCAAGATCTCCATCCTGGAGCCCGAGACGGGGAAGGACATGTCCCCGTATGAGGCCTACAAGAGGGGCATCATCGACCGAAGCCAGTACCTCCAGCTGCAGGATCTCGAGTGTGACTGGGAGGAGGTCACCACCTCGGGCCCCCATGGGGAGGAGTCTGTGCTCCTGGACCGCAAGAGCGGGAAGCAGTACTCCATTGAGGCCGCCCTGCGTAGCCGGCGCATCTCCAAGGAGGAGTACCATCTCTACAAGGACGGCCAGCTCCCCATCAGCGAATTCGCCCTGCTCGTGGCCGGGGAGACCAAGCCCTGCCCCTCCCTCTCCATTGGCGCCATCATCTCCAAGTCCCCGCTTGCGTCTCCAGCCCCCCAGAGCACCAATCTCTTCTCTCCTGGCTTCTCTCTCGGGCTCGGTGAGGACAGCTTCCCCATCGCCGGCGTCTATGACATGACCACGGACAACAAGTGCACCATCAAGACCGCCGTGGCCAAGAACATGCTGGACCCCATCACCGGGCAGAAGCTGCTGGAGGCGCAGGCGGCCACGGGAGGCATTGTGGACCTCCTGAGCCGGGAGCGCTACTCCGTGCACAAGGCGTTGGAGCAGGGGCTGATCGAGAGCAGCTCAACCCAGAGGCTGCTCAATGCCCAGAAGGCCTTCACCGGCATTGAGGACCCTGTGACCAAGAAGAGGCTGTCGGTGGGCGAGGCCATCCAGAAGGGCTGGATGCCCCAGGAAAGCGTGCTCCCGCACCTGCGGGTGCAACACCTGACCGGGGGGCTCATCGACCCCAAGAGGACCGGTCGCATCCCCGTGGCGCAGGCCGTGCTCTCCGGCATGATCAGCGAGGAGCTGGCTCAGCTCCTGCAGGATGAGGCCAGTTATGAGAAGGACTTGACAGATCCCATCTCCAAGGAGCGACTGAGCTACAAGGAGGCCATGGGGCGCTGCCGGAAGGACCCCCTGAGCGGCCTATTGCTCCTCCCAGCCTCACTAGAGGGGTACCGGTGCTACCGCTCGGTCTCCCCCACTGTCCCGCGCTCCCTGCGTTGACGGGGGCCGAGCAGTCACAGGGAGTGATTGGGGATGGGGAGGGGAGGATGCACGCACCCTGGGCCCCTGGAGCAGCTTAACCCAGGGGAGTGGGTCTTCCCTCTGACTCTTCGATGTTCTGTTTCTCACGCGTTCTCGGTGTTGGACTCCCTCCCATGACTTTGGTATCCCCTGACCCATACCCTGAGCCAGCAGCTCTGCTTCCCCGGCTCCTCCCTCACCCTGTGCTTCCAATAAACGAATTCTCCTGGTGTCTTTTTTTTTCTTTTACAGTAGTAAAAGATGTTTATCAGTTTTCACGATCAATAGCCAGATCAAAAAAACATAATTCCAACTGCAAGCAATCATGGAAATATGATTAACCTAACAGTATAAAATAATTACATACAATTTGAGGGGTGGTGGTAAGTGGAAGTACACATTTTCATCTGCCTGGCCAGTCTACATCTTTTGGCTGGTTTCTCCTGGTGTCTTGTTCACGTTTGAGAACAGAGTCAATATTTCTGGGGCATGGGCAAGAGGGACGGCACTCCTATGTGGGGAGAGGACACACCCAACTGGCCCTGCTGGGAACCGGGACTTTCAGAGGACAGCGGCTCCTTTCACTCCGGGAAGGACCTGACAGGAGCAGGTCGTGGAGGACCAGGCCCTCCCCACAGCCAGCTCAGGGCCACGCAGTTCAGGGCAGAAGCTGTCTCCACCCCTCTTGTTAACCTCCCCCTTGTTGGCACGTCCCTGGCGTCCCCCGAGAGCAGAGAGAAACACTAGAAAACTCAGGAATACGTCACTTTTACTTTCTGTTCTTAAAGCCAGAGGCATACAAACTTAAGCATATCCTCAGTGATGAGACAGCTACTTAGAACATCCGACCTCCTCCTGGGATCAGGAAAAAGGCCTCTCCCCCTCGCTCCACCTCCTGTTTTAATGTGGGACTCTTAACTGGAATTCAACTCTTCCCTCAAAACATTTTAAATCCAAAAAGACCAACTGCGGGGGGGACCACTTCCTTGGGGGTCTTGCTCTGCAGCTGAGGGCGGGGCAGCTGAGGGGTGCTAGGAGAGCCTTCCTGGCAGCCCGGGCAGGCTTTCTGCTCTCCTTGGCACCTGCCAGTCTGGTGCCTAGGGACCCCGCCTCTAACTGACCTTCTCGGGCAGGGGGCTTCTGTGCCCCCATCTTAAAAAGGCAAACCCAGCAAACAACACAGGATCTTGCTAGCCTGCTGGCAGGACTAACCTAAACTCAGTCCTCAGACAGCTGATGCCAAATTGCTCCCCTTTCTTGGGGAGTGAGTGGGGAGGGGGCGCGGGGCAGCAGGTGCAGAGGGGTTTTGAGGCGGTAGGCCTCGCACGTTCTCAGCGGCAGAGACGCTCCAGCACACACTGGTGGGGTGCCGAGGCAGTCTGGGCGGACGAGAAGTACGGGTGGGCCAGGGCGGCCTTGGCTGAGATCCGCCGGCTGGGGTCGTACTGCAGGAGTTGCTGCGGAGAGAGGAGGAGAGACCGGTTGGGCCCCAGGTGCGGCCACGGCCCCATAGCCCCAAAGCAGCTCCCTTCAAACCCAGAACCACCCAAAGCCACTATCTCCCAGCTGGAAAACCAGTTCCAGACACTCCTGAAATCTGGGGACAAAGACTTTGTTCTAGTCCTGTTGAGTCACACCCTTTCTCCTTCATGCTACTGAGGCTGAGTCAGTCTCTCCTCTTCCTTAGAGAGCTTTCCAGGCTCCAGCCCACTTCTAGTCGAGACAGATCTAAGTATCAGGAAGAGGGGCCAAGCACGTCCAGGGAGCATGCTTGAGAGTGGGGCAGAAACAAAAATCCCTAAACCCAGCGGGAGGGCAGAAGGACCTCCCCACCTTAAAGCGGCCAGGATGCAGGGTGAGGAGTCTTGGTGGGAAGTCCATGCCGCCCCTCAGCACTGGGCTGGGAGACACACACAGCCCTCCGGAAAGTGGGGCACACAGCATGAAGATGAACTTGCTGCCCTGCCTTCCTGTGACCCAACATCAGACTCAAGAGAAAAACGTGCTCCGAGTCTTTGGGGGCAAGAATGCATGCCTGGACCCCTCTGGGCATCCAGGCGTGGGCCAGCCCAAGCGGTCAAGAGGATATACCTGGAGTGGTGACTTAAGACTGGTGGGGGCTGTGGAAGTGGCGGGGGGCAGCCTGCACTGAATAATAACCACAAGAAAAAATTACTGAAACACAGGACAACCAAGAGAAAGGGCACATATCACAGTATAGGCTTCCCAGTGGTAAAGAATCTGCCTGCCATTGCAGGAGATGCCAGAGACCTGGGTTCAATCTCTGCATTGGGAAGATCCCCTGGAGTAGGAAATGGCAACCCACTCCAACATTCTTGCCTGAAAAATCCCATGAACACAGAAGCCTGGTGGCGACAGTCCACAGGGTCACAGAGAGTTGGACACGACTGAGTGAGCACACACATACATCACAGCGTAAAAACAAAGGTAACTAGAAGAGAGAAATTTTAAAATGGGTGACAAAACACTGGACTTATTGTGGGAGAGGCCTCCAGGTGCAACTGATACAAACAGGGACAAGCCAACTGTGTACAGAGGTCAGAAAGAGACCGGTTTTGCCCCAGAAGGAGCCAGGCTTACATAAGAGGCTGGATGACAAAGCGGACACTTCTACCGAGAGCAGCAGCTGGCATGAGGAGGCCTTGGCCTCCCTGCCACCTACCTGTACCTACCAAGAGCAGGTCCTGGCCCTCTGGCTCCAGGTTTGGCACAATCTCCTCCAGCCCCTTACTGGTCCACTTGGGGAAACTGCCCTTATAGTCAGGCAGCTGGGTGACTCCTGGCCACATGGCCTCACTGGGTGTCCCCAGGGTCCGAAAGATACGGAAGAGTTGGTCAATCTCAGAGTCGCCCGGAAACAGGGCTCTGCGGGTCACCTGGAATGGGGAGGGAAGAAAGCCTGGGGTCTATTCCCTTGTCATACAGAACCCAGTACCAGACGAGAAGCCAGACCAGGGAGGTACCTTCCAGACATCTTTCCCAGGGCTGTGCTAAAAATCCTGACCTGTTCTGGAAAAAGACCTCTAGCCCAATCCCAAACATCCCTTAATCTACTTTTAATAGGAGAACCAGAGCCCCCACGTCCCCCGACCCCAGGAGGACCCTGCCTGTAGCCTCCCCATGGCCGTGTTTATCCCTCTGTCTACCATTTCTGCAAAAATGCAACCGATGCTCCAGATATCCACAGCTGTGGAGTAGAACTGGCATCCCAAGAGGATCTCGGGGGCACGATACCAGAGTGTCACCACCTGGGGGAGCAAGAAAACTGCATCATTCAGGGCAGCCGGGTGCACAGGGGCCGTCCCTTCTCTCCCCCTCCGTCCCCTGGTACCTCATGGGTGTAGGAGCGCAGCGGCACCCCAAAGGCTCGGGCCAGTCCAAAATCAGCCAGCTTGATGGCCCCCAACTCGCTGATGAGCAGATTCTGGGGCTTCAAGTCTCGATGGATGACCCGGTGCGAGTGGCAGAAGTTCACTCCCTGCAGCAGCTGGAAGAGGTAACTCTGGAACGGTGGGCAAGAAAAAGAAAGAGCTGGCAGAGCGGAGGTGCGGTGGGGGCTGACTGAGGGGGCCCTTGCTGGTCAGCCCGTCCTTCTCCCCGTACCTTGACTAGGTGCAGGGGGAGCTCGGAGGCCGGGATGGAGTCCATGTACTTCTTCAGGTCCTGGCTGAGGAACTCAAATACCAGGTAAAGCTTCTTCTCGCTGTGAACCACGTCCAGCAGCCTGGCCGGGCGGCACCAGTCATGTGCCGTCCTGCTGTGCCAGTCATGCTGGGACAGGTGAACCGCCCCATCCCCTGCCCGCCTTACCTGACGATGTTGGGGTGCTTAAGCTCTTTGAGCAGGGAGATCTCCCTGATGGCAGTGCTTGGGACCCCCTCAGTCTCCCTGGAGGGGAGGGTGCAGCAGTTCAGTGAGAAGCTGGGCAGGGTGCTTCTGCCAGGGGGGTGGGGAGGGTTGGGGGGGTGTTTCATATATAACATTACATAAGGATGGCCACCTCCTAGCAATGGGACCCTCCTGGGCACATAATTATCACCCCCAAAGGCCCAGGGCGAAGACTGGTCAGGATGAGGATGAGGGCTGCCCCTGTGTGGCCCCCCTACACGAATGAGCAGCAGTCAGAAAAGGAGCCGAATACAAAACTCTGAGATGAGGGTCAGGCGGAAGGCTGGGTCACTCCAAACCAGGGGGTCTCAGAGGCTGCCCCCGCACTCACAAATCCAGCCTGATCTTCTTGAGGGCCACGAGCTGCCCGGTGTCCTTGTTCTTGGCCTTGTACACCACCCCATAGGTGCCCTCTCCAATCTTCTCCACCTTCTGGAACACGTCCATGTCCGCAGAGCTGCCCTGGAAACAGACGGCGCCTGGGGCGTTCCCCCCCATGCCCAGAACCCCTGCTGCCCCTTCAGCCTCCAGGGCACACCCTGCCGGGCCCCCACCCAGGCCCCCGGGGCTCCTGAAGACTGTGGCTCCCAGGGAACCACCCTGCTCTGCCGGCCAGGCGGACCAGGCCCAGGCCCAGCTCCCACCCTCCACCCCAGCCCCAGCCCATCCCCAAGAACCTATCATGGAGGGAGGCTGCAGCCCAGGCCGGGCAGGGACCCCCAGGCCCCAGGAAGCAGCTGCCCCAGAGCCGGGCTACGGAGCACAGGAGGGTCCAAACTTCTCCTGCCCAGGTCCCGGCCCCAGGGCGGGAGGCTGCCCAGAGGGGCTGCCCTGGGGGGCCCAGGGTCAACTCGGGGTGGAGGTCAGGGGTCAGGAAGGGCTTCAGAAGTCACAAAGCCGCACTAGGCCGCGTGGCCAGGGAGAGGGGCTGGGCCTGGCCTGTTTGGAGATGCTCGGCCTCGTGAGGGCAGAACCTTGGCAGGAGCGGCCCCCACTGCATCCTGGGTCCCTCCACCCGGTCCTGGGCCACCCACCGCCAGCAGTCTCCCCTCAGGCCCTCAGCCCAGAATTCACCAGAAACCCTGCGATCCTGCGGCCTCTCTGCCAGGCAGGCCGCCTGCTCCGAGGCTCCCCCTCCTGGCCCCGGCCGGCACTGCACCACGTGCACGCGCTGCTCAGTCACACCACCAGGCTTTATTCACAGGGACATTCTGGAACTCTCCAGGACCCACACGAGGCCCAGCGCCCCAGTGCCCCAGCGCCCCAGCGCCCGGCCTCGGAGCGCTAGGCTGCCCTCCCCTCGTCTCTCCAGACAAAGGCTGTCAGTCGGGGGACGCTCCTGCATCTTCTCTGCAGCAGCTCCAGTGTCTGGCCGGGCGGGAAGGCGGCATTGCCAAGAGCTCCCGGTTTGCTCCCTACTGGCCACTGTCCCTCTCTTGCTGGTACAGCCTCTGCTCCCGGACGGCTTGTTCTAACAAGGGGAGGTTCATTCCTTCCACACACGTCAGTACCCGGGCCTTCACCACGCAGCTTCCGTCTGAAACACACAGACACCAAGGCCCCGGCAGGGTCAGCAACACACCCTTCAGAGGCGTTCTGTTTCTCCTCAATTTCTCCTCAGTCCTGAGTTTGGACAGAGTCTGACAGGGCAGAGGTGAGAAGGATGGTTTACGGATGCTGGCTATTTGTATACTTGGGCCTCAGAACTGTTGGGCCCGCCACACACTACAGACATGGAACTGAGGGGGGTAGCCTGAAAAGTCCACTTCTCCTGGGAGAAGGCCCAGCAAGATGTGGCCTCTGCTCCCCTCTTTTGTCATCCTAACTCCCGCCAGCTTCTCTGTAGGGCTCAAAGGCCCAGAGTTGAGGAACAGTCTCTATCGCATCCTAGTTCTCCATTTGTACCAGAGGGCCCCTTGGCATCATGGGAATTGAGGCAAAGAGAACCCCACATTGAAAAATAAATTTATTTATTTATTCGGCTGCGCCAGGTCTTAGTTTCAGCACATGGGATCTTCTATCTTCTTTGCGGCATGTAAACTCTTAGCTGCAGCATGTGGGATCTAGCTCCCTGACCAGGGATCGAACCCAGGCTCCCTGCAAGGGGAGCATGAAGTCTTAGCCACTGGACCACCAGAGAAGTAACCCCATTTTTTTTTTTAGTGAATACAGTTCCCAACAAACACAGAAGACTTTTAATGATATTAATAAAGCTCCTTAATTGTTTCCCCCCCACCCCCGGCCATGTTGCATAACATGTGGGATCTTAGTTCCCTGATTAGGCATCAAACCTGTGCCCCCTGCACTGGGAGCATGGAGTCTTAACCATTGGCCTTCCAGGGAAGTCCTGAGAACCCCATATTTAATCAATCCCAGGGGAGAGTCTAGCCTAATAGTGGCAGATTATCCCACCCTGGACAAGCGGCTGCGGGTGCTTCTAGCAGATGCTGTGGTTTCCCAATGGAAAGGTTTGTCAATGTCCAGGTGACACCAAACAGGAAGGACACTGGAGTTTGTCCTCCTAACAGTTTGTTTTTGTTTCCACTACGTTTTCTCTGCTCTCTGAGCACGTCAATGAATACAATAAATGTTCTAGAACATTATCCTGTCTTCTTTGATGCCATTTTGAGATAGAGGCATCCTGTGGTTAGAGTCTATGCCTAACCTTCCTTCTAGTCTAGGCCACTTTATTGATTTAACGCAGCCCGACGGCAGAATTCAGAGGCTTGGACTGTCTAAATTTCAAACTTTAACATAGGAAGATGAACTCATTTGAAACAAGAGGTTGCCTGCGTGTCGTCAGCTTCTGTTGCCCCAGCACTTGGACTGCAAAGGCTGCTATGCCTAGATCAGGGGGGCATGCGGCTGTCCATCTTTGAAAGGTCTACATAAATGGAATAAAAGAAGAGCATCTGAAGAGCAGGGGCTAGAGAAAGGAGTTGATGAGGTCATTTAGGGTAATCTCTTCTTGCAAAGATAAAAAGAACCTGCAGCAAAGGAAAAGGGGCTGATAAAAGAGCAAACAGAAGCCAGTGGGTTGAGGTGTGAGTCTGAGATAAGGAAGGGATGATATGGAAAAAACAGACCTTCTTTTAGGAAGTTTGACTGTGGAGGCAAGAGGGTCATAGCCAGGTAGATATAAGGCCGAACTTGACAGCTTATTGTTGCTATTTTTTTTTTTTTTTGCTATTATTTTAATACAGAAGAGACGAGTGCTTTATATGCTGGGAGGGAAGAACCACTGGTAATAGGTTAAGGGTTCAGCTGAAAAAGCAAAGCCCCGGCAGGAGGGCAGGGGTTTATAACAGCACGGGGGCGCTGCGTCGCAGGCAGGAGGGAGCCTCCTCTCTCCCAGACTAGAGGGAAGGAGCTACTGATGGGCGTGGTTGTTGTCCTTCAGACACTAAGGCTTCTGGTGACCCCATGGCCTGCAGCACACCAGGCTTCTCCGTCCTCCACTGTCTTCCAAAGTTTGCTCAAGTCGGTGATGCCATCTAACCATTTCAACCTCATGGGCACTGATGTATATAATTACAGGGAAGACTGCTGCTGTGGCCTCAGTTTAACGTGGGATGTAGGAGGTGAAGGAGATGTACTGGAAAGGACAGGAGAGGTGATGATGTAGGGGTTCCTGCATGACAGGTGAATGCCTAAAGTAGCTGTGGCAGCTTGGGGGCTGGGTGGGGGGGGCGGGAAGGGGACTGATCAGGACACAGAGAAGGAACTCTAGGCAGGTCCCCGGAAAGATAAGGGCCCACAGGAGGTAACAGACCTTGAAACCAGGGGAATCCCTGGAGCTTTGTGAACTTTCTACATCAACAGTTAGGTGGGACCTGGGACCTGGCAATCAAATTGCCAACATCCGTTGGATCATCACAAAAGCAAGAGAGCTCCAGAAAAACATCTACTTCTGCTTTATTAACTAAGCCAAAGCCTCTGACTGTGTGGATCACAACAAACTGTGGAAAATTCTTAAAGAGATGGGAATACCAGACCACCTGACCTGCCTCCTGAGAAATCTGTATGCAGGTCAGGAAGCAACAGTTAGAACTGGACATGGAACAACAGACTGGTTCCAAATCTGGAAAGGAGTACGTCAAGGCTGTATGTTGTCACCCTGCTTATTTAACTTATATGCATCATGAGAAACGCTGGGGTGGATAAGCACAAGTTGGAATCAAGACTGCCAGGATATCAGTATCAATAAACTCACATATGCAAATGCAGATGACACCACCCTTATGGCAGAAAGCAAACAATAACTAAAGAGCCTCTTGATGAAAGTGAAAAAGGAGAGTGAAAAAGCTGGCTTAAAACTCAACATTCAGAAAACTAAGATCATGGCATCCAGTCCCATCACTGCATGGCAAATAGATGGGGAAACAGTGGAAACAGTGTCAGACTTTATTTTGGGGGGCTCCAAAATCACTGCAGATGGTAATTGAAGTCATGAAATTAAGATGCTTACTCCTTGGAAGAGTAGTTATGACCAACCTAGACAGCATATTAAAAAGCAGAGACATTACTTTGCCAACAAAGGTCCACCTTGTCAAGGTTACAGTTTTTCCAGTGGTCATGTATGGATGTGAGAGTTGGACTGTGAAGAAAGCTGAGCACCGAAAAATTGATGCTTTTGAACTGTGGTGTTGGAGAAGACTCTTGAGGGTCCCTTGGACTGTAAGGAGATCCAACCAGTCCATCCTAGAGGAGATCAGTCCTGGGTGTTCATTGGAAGGACTGATGCTGAAGCTGAAACTCCAATACTTTGGCCACCTCATGCGAAGAGGTGACTCACTGGAAAAGACCCTGATGCTGGGAGGGATTGGGAGCAGGAGGAGAAGGGGACAACAGAGGATGAGATGGCTGGATGGCATCACTGACTCAATGGACATGAGTTTGAGTAAGCTTCGGGAGTTGGTGATGGACAGGAAGGCCTGGCGTGCTGTGATTCATGGGGTCGCAATGAGTTGGACACGACTGAGCTGAACTGAACTGTTGAGAGAAGTCTCTTGAGAGTCCCTTGGACTGCAAGGAGATCCAACCAGTCCATCCTAAAGGAGATCAGTCCTGAATATTCATTGGAAGGACTGATGCTGAAGCTGAAACTCCAAAACTTTGGCCACCTAATGCAAAGAACTGACTCATTTGAAAAGACCCTTATGCTGGGAAAGATTGAAGGTGGGAGGAGAAGGGGACAACAGAGGATGAGATGGTTGGATGGCATCACAGACTCAATGGACATGAGTTTGAGTAAACTTCGGGCGTTGGTGATGGACAAGGCCTGGCATGCTGTGGTTCATGGAGTCGCAAAGAGTCAGACACGACTGAGCAACTGAACTGAACCGAATTGAGAGGGTGGAGACTGGGGCTTAATCAGGAATGAGCAATGGAAGGTGAGGGGTTGGAACTTCTGCTAGGAAAGTGATTGAAATGATAGCAAGATCCAGCTGGAAGGGAGAGGAGGTGGGAGAAAATGGAGTCCAAAGTCTTCAGGTGCCCAGTGGTGACGAGGCAGAGGGCAGAAAGATACTGAGGGTGGAACCCAGTTTCAGATGGCAGAGGCGGGTGGTTTTGGGTGTGGAGGAAGCAGGGGGTAGAGGTGCTTGGAGGCAGAACTGGTCACTGCAGAGGTGGAGGGGGAAGGTGAAGGGGACAAACTTGAAGAGCAGGCTAGATTCCAGCCCCACCTCTGGGCTCTGGGGAGTGTGTGACCTGAGAGGCTCCATGTGGGAGGGCAGGGGGGGCGGGGTGAGGAAATGCTGTCCGGGACAAAAGCTAGGTTTCAGGCAAGTCCCAGAGAAGGCGAGAGCATAGGAAAGGGACTTGAAATAAAATAGTGACAATATAAAAAGTAGTAAAATAAAAAAACAAAACAAAAATAGTGAAATATAAAAACAAATGAATGCTTTACAGACTCTGGGAAAAAGAATTTTCAGCCAAGTACAAACCTTGAAAGCATTCCTCTCTTTAATTTGGCAATTCTTTACTGTGGAAGAGCTCAGAATGTCACTTCTGTTTTAAATAACAGAACTGGGGAACTGTGCAAGGAAACGTCATTTGGATTATAACATTAGGAAGGTTTGAGAGGACACACGGAAGGCCTACAAGGGGCAGGAAGCAGCAGTCAGGTGAATGGAAACCAGAAGAGGTGGGACTTCTGATGAGAGCCCCAAGGCAGCCTGCTGCTGTCGCGGAGCAACGGAGCAGATGGGAGGCCGTGTCCTCGCCCCCTAATCACTGGATCAGAAGCCCTGAGCCCTGCAGGGTGTCCTGGCCTGCTGGAAGGGACATGGCACTGCCATTTTCTCTCTTTTGCCTACAAACATTTCAGAAAGATGACCAGGCAGCCTCTTATCTCTGCTCAGAACTGCAGACCTTGCTACGGGGCAGGGTCTGTGTCTGGTTGACCTTTGTGTCCCCAGAGGACTTTGGACCCGGCTGGGGGCCAGACATGCCACCCCAGGCCGGAGGTCAGCAGCTACTGCAAAGCTCAGCCCACACTCTGCCCTCCCTCCTCACCTTTTGTCTTTCTTTCCTGCGTCAGTATCGAATGATGAGTATGTATGCCTCAGAAATTAGAAATCGAGGGAAAAGTTTTTTTAGGAAAGAAAAAATACAGATAGCAATGAAAAATAATGAGAAATTTGGGGCCTAGGAAAAATGCTGCTGGATTATTGATTATGATAATAATATTGATTATTAGTCAAGCTGCTGGCTTGACTATTAAGCTTCCTGGGTTGGTTGGTTTGTTTTTTGTCAAGCATACAACTCAGCAGGGGACTTCCCCGGCAGTCCAGCGGTTAAGATTCCTCACTTTCAATGCAGCGGGCCGGGGGTTTAATCCCTGGCTGGGGAGCTAAGGTCTCACATGCCACATGGCATGGACAAAAAAATTTTTAGAAAGTTAAAAAAGAAAAAAAAAAGAATACATCAAAGCGGTACTGTCTGTGTTCTCCTGGTGCATTACCCCAGAGGCCCACAGTTGATGGGTCAGCTATTTGTAATGTTTGATCAACAGGGCAGGCCTGATTCCCGTGCTACATTCCCCACAAACTTTCACTTAAATATTTGAGCAGCCAGTGACAACAATCTTCACCTGTGTTTATTCTTGCCTCAGGGCTAGGATTTAATAGTTTCTCCTGTGCTTATTCACTTTGATTCTTCTCTAAAGAACTTGCTCTGAAATAAAATCCATTCCGAGAAAGGCAGGATAAAATCAAAGGGAGGAGGAGCAGATTTAATGCAAGGAGGAGGAAGCCAACAACTAATTCCAGACCCATGGTCTCCAATAAATGGCATTTTTTTAAAAAAGAGAGGAAGACAGAACTGTTACAAAGACTTGGGATTTGTAACCCAAAGGCAAGGCGTGGATTTTGTTCACCTCCTGCTTTTCAACTTAACTTTTTCTAAAAAGCCATTTTGGGGCCGAGGAAGGGAATAAACAGGGACAAGCTATGTCGTAGAGTATATCAAGGACTAGCTATTGATTTTGTTGGGTGCGATCGTGATTTTGTTAGAGATACACACTGAAGTATTTATGGATAAATGAAACAATGTCAGATTTGCTCTAAAATACACCAGCAACATAAGTAGGTAAGGGACTTCCCTGGTGGTCCAGTGGTCACACTCCCAATGCAGGGGGCGAGGGCTCAATCTCTGGTTGGAGAGCTAAGATCCTACATGCATCACAACGCAGAAAAAAGAAAAATTAAGTAAGTGCATGTGGGCAATGAAGACACAGATCAGTGGAATACAGATCTCTGCTGAATCTGGGTGACAGGTATGTGGAGGGTCATTCTACTTTTGTGTGTATGTTTGATTTGAAAATGTTAAATTTTAAAAAGTTATTTGGATTGGACTTTATTCAACAACTTTATTCAAAAGTTATTGGACTTTACAGTTTTTTCCATTTTTCTTTCCACAAATAATTCTACATGTCCACTCTAGGTCCTGGTCCCACCTTTATTTCAACCTCTATCTCTGTATCTGCGACCAGACCTTTGAGTTCCAGATACTCAGCACTCAACTCCTAAGAGCTCCTAGGACTCCCTGCCAGAGCCAGGAGTACAGGAGGGAGCCTCGGGTGATGTGGGCTGAGGTCAAAGTGGAAATCATTTATTCCATGTCCTTTGTCCTCAATTCCACTCCTCCTCCTGATACTTCCTTCAAATCAATTAAGAGGGAAAGGACTCTGAGCTCAAAGGCTTAAGCCTGAATAAAGATTAACTTTTATTAAACCAAACATAATTAAAGTAAGCTCCATTTAATTGTTTTCTTCTAGTGCATTTCATCCAGAGTTAAAAACTACTGAAACTTCTAGAAAGTAAGTTGGTACTGTAAATCAAGAGATATATCCTTTAATGGAGCAATTCCACTTTTAGGAAACTACCCTGAAGAAATAATCAGAAAATGAACAAAGATTAGAACACAAGGCTATACTGTAGTGTTTTTAATATACACCGAGATAGATTTTTTAAAACTGGGTTCTGCTCCCTGCCCCGGGCTATAAAGCAATATATTTTCATTGTAAAATGCTAATAAAAGTACAGGGAATCCTATAGTTCTACCACCCAGACATAATTACTCTTAACATTTTGGTAAATAATATTTCAAACTTTTGTATGTATAAAAATGTACATCTAACAAAAGTGAGATCAAATGATACATATTGTTTTATAAACTGCTTTTTCTTTAGTGAAATACTATGAACATCTTTTCATGTCAATAGATATAGATTTATAACACCATTTTTGATGGTTGTATAATATTCTCCAACTGAATATCACATAGTTTTTTAATGAATTAATGTACAGTGAATTTACAAGAGCAAGAAATGGAAACAACACAAATGTCTAATGCTTGTGTGAATTAGTGCCTGTCAGGAAGCATTTAACAAGAGGCTTCCTGTGTGCTGTTCTGGATCTGTCAGGAACCCTCCGGTCCTTACTGATTCCTGAATATTCAGGAATTAAGAGGAGAGGCACGCTTTTCCTGGGGCTGAGGAATCCAGGCATTTCTCATTACGGTGATAAGTACCCTCTTCCTTTTTATGAGCCATACGGTAAAAGGTGATTGTTTGCAACTCTCTCTCTTTGATAGGGATCGTCTTAAGATTTGTAAGTTTGGAATTTTAATCTTTGTCTTTGCTGAGAATAACCACCTTGCAAGACAGTATATATGCCCACGCCGTGTTGATTAAAACACCTTTGCTCCATCAGAGCTTTGGTCCCTGTGTCCTTTCTTTCTTTCTATTCCTTCTCTCTTTCTCTATTTCTGGCTAATTCCTTGGAGCGCGGAGGCCCGCTGAGCTCACTTTCTTGCCTGGGCTTCTGAGACCCTCTCGAGAAGGCGCACTGTGCCTTCACCCACTCGAGAGGGCGCCTGGTGCCTACGTGCAGCAGCGCGAGCCCTAAGCACAGGGCTCTATTGGCTTTCCGCGTAAACCAGGGGATATCAGCCTCTTTCTCTCTCTTATTCTCAGAACCACCAGGTTCCGGTCCATTAAAGGACCAACAAGTGCGTGTGTGTGTGTGTGCATGCTCAGTTGTGTCCGACTCTTTGCAACCCCATGGACTATGGCCCACCAGGCTCCTCTGTCCATGGGATTTCCCTGGCAAGAGTACAGGAACGGGTCGCCCTTTCCTCCTCCAGGGGATCTTCCTGATCCAGGGGTTGAACCCAAGTCTCCTGTGTCTCCTGCATTGGCTGGCAGATTCGTTACCACTGAGCCACCTGGGAAGCCCTGTGTGAATTAGTATATACACCTAATCTATAAAATATTATATAGCCATTAAATACTTAAGAAACAATTTCAAGACACAGTGCAGGGAGCCGGCCTGCTCAAGGCCCAAAAAGGCCCTGGGAAAGCCTTGAAAGAGGCCATTCCCTGTCCCGCCACCCCATGATAAAGTAGTAAAACATTTGCTGGGTCTCCTTTGTTCTTCCTTGAGAAAAACATAGTAGTGACCTTCACTTAGTAGTTTATCTTGGAATACCAAAAACAAGATGTAAGCTTCTGCAATCACTTAAGACAAAAAGGTTGTATTGATGTGGTTAAAACCAGGTGGCATTCCTTATGTATGATGTCTCCTACTTGTACTAGTATAAAAGTAGCTGTTTCACTCAATAAAGTTGCTGACTTGCCTAAAGAGCATTCAGCCCTCTCGACCCCATCCTTTACTTTCAGCTTCTTTTTCTCAGGCTTCCGTGCTGCTGTGGTCGGGACCTGTTCACATTGCCAGCTGGTACCGGCAACAGAGGAATCCTTATGAAATAATGTTAAACTAGAATAACCAGATACAAGATGTTCTAGTTATATAAACCATAGGACAAAAATGGCGCAGGGTCAGCCAGAGAGGGAGGCAAAGAATCCAAGTATCCAGGTTTTAAAGTTTTGCAACCTTCTACTCCCGACGCCACAGAGATTCTCCCAGGTTGCTTCTTTTCTATTTCTCTCACCCTGACTTCCTGGCCTCTGACTCTAGCCCCTCTTACTTCTTGGCCTCTTACTCCAACCTCTCTGGGTCTTGGTTTTCTCATCTATGAAATAGCCATAAGATAACTAAGATTAAGGGCTGGTGAGTAGATTCAAAAACTTTTAAGTAAACCACAAGCCTGGCACATTCTAGACCTTCAGAAATGAAGGATTTCTCTCCCCGCTTTCTCGCTGGTCCATTGGGAAGGCGGTCACATCTCTTTCCCTTGAGTCCCTACTGATCTGGAAGGAATGTTAACCCCAATGAGGGACCCATGCTGGGTTAGAAGCCAGGCCCAAGCACCCAAAAGACTATGTGAGGTCAAGGCTTACCCTTCTGGTGCTCCAGTTCCCCAAGGACAGTGTAGAGGGAGCCCAGCTGGGCTTGGAACGGTTCCACCAACTTGGTACAGACGAGGATCGGGTACTGGTCAGATCTGAGTTGAGCCATCAGGGTTACTTGGGACTGGGTCATGTCGTAGCTGCACAACCTGGAAGTCAGGGTACATGGGCTCATTCCCATCCACTGACAGAATCACCCCAAGGCTCAAAAGGTTCTGGGAGACCAGGATGTCCATGGGAAAATGTTCAGCCCCACTCAGATCAGAAAAATTAAAGTGGTAGCAACAGAAAACATTGTTTTGGTCTATATAATTGAAGTATAAATTACATGCATTAAAAGACATCTGTTTGAGACTTTCCTGGTAGTCTGGTGGGTAAGACTCTGAGTTCCCAATGCAGGGGCCCAGCAGGTTCGATCCCTGGTCAGGGAACTAGATCCTACATGCTTTGACCAAAAGTTTGAATGCCATGACTAAAGATCCCAAGAGCCGCAACTAAGACTTCGTGCAGCCAAATACGTAAAAATTATTTTAAAAAAAATTTTAATGGACTTGCTCATTGACTGTTGACAAAAGTATCCACTGTGCAAGCAAGAATCCCAATCAAGCTTTGGCACATTTCCATCACCCCCCAAAACCCCCTTGTGCCCCTTTGAAATCAGTCTTCCCATCTCCCACCTCAGGCAACACTGATCTGCTCTTGGTCTCCATAGGTGAGTTTTCCTGCTTAAACATCTCATGTGAATGGAAACTTATAAGCATGTATCCTTCTGTGTCTAGCTTCTTTGATTCAGCATAATGGTTCTGAGACCCATTTATGTGTTTCATGAATCAGTAGCTTGCTCCTTTTTGCATTGCTTGTTAGCACTCTGTTGAATGGACTAATACATTATTATTATCCATTTACCAGCTGATTTAGTTTGCTTATGAACTTGTGCTGAACACGTTTTCGTTTCTCATGGGGAAATATCCAAGTGGGATTTTTTGGGTCGCATGGTCAATCTGTCTGTTTAAAGGAAACTGCCAAATTATTTTTCAAAGTGGTGGAGTCACTTTGAAAGTCACTTACTTTCCCCCCAGCAATGTATGAGGGCTCTAGTTACTCTAAATCCTTGTCAGCACTTGATATGGTCAGTCTTTTAGCCACTTTAGTGGGCATGAGATACCATATCATTGTGGTTTTAATGTGCATTTCCTTAATGACGCATCATGTTGAACAAATTTTCATGTGTTTATCTGCAATCTGGATAGCTTCTCTGACAGTGTCTGTTGAAATCTTTTACTTATTTAAAAATTAAGTTCTTTATTAGGAATTCCTTGGTGGTCCAACTGTTAGGACTATGCACTTACACTGCTGAGGGACTGGGTCCAATCCGTTGTCAGGGAAAAAAGATCCCATAAGCCATATGGTGTGGCCAATGAAATAAAAAATATATAAATAAAAATTAAGTTCTTTATGTTCTTATTATTGCATTGTATGAGTTCTTCATATATTCTAAATACAAATCATTTGTTGAATATATACAATATACATACACACATCACTCCCAAACATCTCCCAGTTTGTGGTTTGCCTTTTAATCTTCTTGATGGTATCTTTTGATGAGAAGCTTTTAATTTTGTTGAAGTGCAAATTTATTCATTATTTCTCTCTTATGTGTTTTGTTTTCTGAGTCCAAGAAATCTTTGCCTATCTCAAGGTGTATGTGAAAGATCTTCTATTTTCTTCTAAACAATTTTATGGTTTTAGCTCGTACACTGATGATCCAGTTAGAATAATTCATGTGTATGTGTGCTGTGGGGTAGGGATCAAGGTGTTTTTTAACCTCCATAAGAATAACCACTGGACCCGCCAGAGAAGTCCCATTAATAAGTTTTATATCCATGCTCCTAAACATCACTCTTCTTTGGGGCCACCCAGCCCCCAAAGTACTTCATGCAATCAAGCTCTTGGAGGTGGAGGCAGGGGGGAGGGTAGACTCCCATTTCCACACACCTGCTCTGATTCTGTGCTGTTAGAGAAGGCTCTTGAGAGTCCCTTGACTGCAAGGAGATCCAACCAGTCCATCCTAAAGGAAATCAGTCCTGAATATTCATTGGAAGGACTGATGCTGAAGCTGAAACTCCAATACTTTGGCCACCTGATGTGAAGAACTGACTCACTGGAATAGACCCAGATGCTGGGAAAGATTGAAGGTGGGAGAAGGGGAAGACAGAGAATGAGATGGTTGGATGGCATCACCGACTCAATGGACATAAGCTTGGGTAAACTCCGGGAGTTGGTGATGGACAGGGAGGCCTGGCGTGCTGCAGTCCATGGGGTTGCAAAGAGTCAGACACGACTGAGCGACTGAACTGAACTGAATTGATATGTCTCCAAGACAGGCCCCAACGATTCTATTTTTTTTTTTTTTGGTTGCACTGGGTCTTTGTTTTGGCACGTGGGCTCTTCCTTGTGGTTCTCAGGCTTAGTTGCCCTGCAACATGTGAGACCTTAGTTCCCCGACCAGGGATCAAACCTGGGTGCCTGCACTGAAAAGTGGATTCTTAGCCACTGTATCACCAGGGAAATCCCTCCAGTAATTCTTATATCCTGGCATGCACATCCCTGTGTTATCTCCTATCACCCAAACTAGTGCTGACTTATTTTTTCTTTTTTGGCTGCACTGTGTCTTAGTTGCTGCATATGGGATCTAGCTCCCTGACCAGGGATTGAACCTGGGCCCCCTGCATCAGGAGCTCAGAGTCTTAACCACTGGACCACCAAGGAAATCCCTAGAGCTGACTTATGTAACCAACAAAACATTGCAGAGATGATCTAGAGTGATTTCTGAGATGAGGTCATTGACACTGTGGCTTTATCTTTGCTGGCTCTGTTGAGTCACTCCTTCTGGAGAAAGTCAGCTGCCAGATTATGAAGACCTTCAAGCAGCCATATACTGAAATCCATATTTTGAGAAAGTGAGCCTGTGTGACGAGAGGCAGCATAAAACTGCCCAACATGTGAGTAAGTCCCTGTAGAATCAGATCCTCTAGCTGCACACCAGCCTTCAGATGCTGGCAGCCCTGGCCAACATCAATTACAATCTTCAAAGCCAATCTGAGCCAGAAGCACCCAGCAAAGCCATTTCCTAATTCCTGACCCATGGTACATAAGAAAAAAATAAACTTTTGTGGTCATTTGAAGCCACTAAATTTTGGGGTGATTTGTTACCCAGCAATATGTGACTAGGGGCTTCCCTGGTGGCTCAGAAGGTAAAGAATCTGTCTGCAATGCAGGAGACCGGGGTTTGATTCCCGGGTTGGGAAGATGCCTTGGAGAAGGGAATAGCTAACCAGACTAGTATTCTTGCCTGGAGAATTCCATGGACATAGGAGCCTGGTGGGCTACAGTCCATTGGGTCACAAAGAGTCAGACATGAGTGAGTCACTAATACTGCACTGGAATATGTATACTAACACAGTATATATGTTTATACACATATTGTGTGTATACACACCCATGTATACATATAAACACACATGAAAAAGCATATATTCAAGAAAAGGTTAATGGTCGGTGATTTTTGCTGGCTTTCTTTACACATTTACAGATTATCAACATTTTTTACAATGAATGTACATTGAATTTTTAAATATTTTTTAAATAATTAGATAAAATTGTAAGACTTGTTTTTTAAAACAATTTTGAAAATATAGTAAGTTTAAAATAAAAATAAATCATTTAAAATAATTAAAAACATAATTTAAAATAATTTTTAAAATAAATTAAAAGACTCAATTTTTTTTTAAACACTCCCCCCCCGTACCACGTGAAGAAAAACATTCCCACCTGCCAAATGTCCTCAGTGTGTTCCCATCAGGAACTTGGCCAGCACTGACCTCCCAGGGGAAGAAATAGATCCCAGGTTTGGGCAGCATTATTGTTCCTGTAACCAAATAGTTGACATGGATTTTTGAAGATAATGACAAACCAAGCCAACCACAAGATGGACATTAACAGATGTGAGACCAGCAACATCTGAAAAGCTAGTTCCAGGGGGAGGTGTTTTAAAATTTAAAAAGATTTTCTGATAGATCTATGTGGAAAGTGTTATTTGTTGTTGTTTAGTCACTGAGTATGACTCTTTTGCCACCCCACTGACTATAGCCAGCCAGGCTCCTCTGTCCATGAGATTTCCCCGGTAAGCATACTGGAGCGAGTTGCCACTTCATTCTCCAAGGGATCTTCCTGACCCAGGGATAGATAGAACCTGTCTCCTGCATTGGCAGGTAGATTCTTTACCACTGAGCCACTTGGGAATCCAGAAAGTGTATTATTCCCACTCTAATTCCTATGCAACCATTTCCCTCCTCAAGCCCCTAAAAGGGTCCATAAAAGGCAGATAGTAATATGACTTCTGTCACTACTGACCTTTGTCATCCTAGTATGAAAACTCTCATAGCCAATACATAACAAATGAGTGTACTTTATTTCCTTCCAACTTTATTTACAAAAACATGCAGTGACTTCGCTTGGCCCATGCTGATGTTTGCCAATCCCTGCCAAGGTGAACCTGTTTGCATAAGATGTTTATCTTTTTATTATGCAAATAAAGACAAAGATGAGTATATCTTTATTTTCCATCTATACTATAGTATACATGCTGTTCTTGATTTTTTTTCACTTCATATATCTTGACACTTTCATAGTTGTACATAAAAGGTGTCTTCACATTTTTAAAACAAACTTTTTGGAGAAGGAAATGGCAACCCACTCCAGTACTATTGCCTGGGAAATCCCATGGATGGCGGAGCCTGGTAGGCTACAGTCCATGGGGTCACAAAGAGTCAGACACCCCACAGACTATACCAGAAGGCTCTGGCATCCTGCTGTTTATCTTCCATGCAAACTTCCTAGGTAAAGAGGTCATTGCTCGCCTCTGTGGACCATGTAGTGTACAAGCTGTTGTTTTAAATGATAAATTTCAACTTCCTGCTTTTCTGGACAGTCATTTTGTTTACTCATTCAGCCCTGTGGCAGGCCTCAATAAAATATTCATAAGGCTGACGGAAGCACCTCCTGCTAAGGTTAAGCTGCTAATAGGTGCATATAGAGTACAGCTACAGTGCCCAGAAACAATTGGAAGCGTTACTCTTAAGACCTATTTCTAAATACTCTGTGAAGCAGTTTGGAATTCTGGCACAGCTAACATTTCTAAATTTAAAGTTTCTTCTGTAAGCCTCTTGCATTGAAGGCCAGTCATCTGTTACAGTCTGTTAAGATGGGACACAACGGGTCTAACATAAAACACAGATGTAAGTATTTGTGCAAGTAAAAATAATAATAATAATAAATAAAATAAACTTTTTATTTTTCAATGATTTTCATTTTTTCAAAATGTTAGATAAACGGGGATTTAGGACTAACTAGAGGCATCCTGAAAATGTTGGCCTTCAACTGTTTCTGCATTGGACAAGCAAGTGGAGATCTGAACCAAGAAAATGGTAATTAAATAATTTCAAGATCCTCCTGAAAATCAGATGACACAGCTCTATTCCCAAAGTTTAAGGTAACCTAGAATCTTGCACAATTGTTTGCAATATCCTCTAGCAAAGGTCATGGGGGATGGTTGTTGACCCATGTGCCATGGTCATGTCACTGTCGTGTGCCAAGGAGTTTGGCCAATGTAGTGGAGAAGCAACTTACTCAGGGGTTCCTCCAAACACAGACATCCTTCATAGCTGCGACCTTTGAGAGAGCTATCTAGCTACCAGAGACAGCTCCCTAATCGTCTCTGGCCTGAGAGAGAAGCAAAAAACAGAACCAAACCCCCAAAACAGTCAAGAGAAGGAAAAAAATATAGTGGTTGCTGTTGTTGATAATGGAGACAATCCCATCCAATCGAGCAAATGCTGCAACTTGAGAATCTTTTTTAAAGTAATTCTTCCACTCTCAAGTACCATGTATAAGTTAAACTATAAGTAACTAGGTCATTAATTTTTATTTTTAAAATTACCACGCAGAAGCACTGACTCTTTGAGGGTGGGGAGGAAAACCCTTTGTAAATTTTTTTAAAGTTACAATTTTATTTACTTATTTATTCTGGCTGCATTGGGTCTTTGTTGCTGTCCCTAGCTGTAGCCCGTGGGAGCTACTCTTCGTTGTGGTGCATGGGCATCTCATTGCAGTGGCTTCTCTTATTGCAGAGCATAGACTCCAGGTATGCGGGCTTCATCAGTTGCAGCACACAGACTCAGTACTTGTGGCTCCTGGGCTTAGCTGCTCCTCCTTAGGCAGAATCTTCCCAGACAAGGGGTCAAACCTGTGTCCCGTGCATTGGCAGGCAGATTCTTATCCACTGTACCATCAGGGAAGCCCTCTTTTGTAAATTTTAACCTCAATTTTTTTCTTCAAACAAAAGTTGCTATGTGTTTATTTAGATATTTCTGTTGACTTAATAAGCACAGCTGGCTCCATAAATCATTATCCATGTATTATCGCACACTCAAGAACGTTTCTGTGAAGATATATCAGAACAGGCTTCTCTGGTGACTCAACTGGATTTCAAATAATCTCTCTAGAAATCTGAATAATGGTACAACCTGTACTTCAAGCCTTTTTATTCCTCAAGGTAAAATATCCACTTCTAGGAGAAAAATCCATGGTATGAAAAATATTCCTTTAAACGACTGGGAAGTTTGAAAATACTGTATAGGAAGGGTGATGACCCAATCTGACTGTTTCTTTCATCTTTTCTGAAGGAACTGCCCGGGTTTCTGCAGTGGGATTGAAGATTGAGAAGTAACACTTATAACTAAGTTCATCATAGCTTTTGTCGGCTTAGGACTTGTTTCTTGAGGACAAGAAACTTTATTATACATGTTTACCGGTCCACAATTAGAACAGGTTACTGGTTTACCACAAAAGGGTAAGGATATAACTAAGGAACAACCAAAAAGAAGAGATGCATAGAACAGAGGAGGTGGGGTGGGATGTGGCGCTTCTATGCCCTTTCTTGTCACTTGCCCATCCCTGTGTTCACCAACCCAGAAGATATTCATTCATGTTTAAAGTTACAATTCTTTGTTAGTTTTATATCACACAATGAATGGCCAATGCTAAAACTCAAGTTATGTCACATGATTTGACCTATGGCCTCAAAAGATTCTATCACATGGGGATTACTTCCAATTTAAATGTGATCTCAACTAAATTAATTTTACAGTGACCAAATAAAATGACTATTTATGCCTTTAAAAGTTTTGCAATCACCAGAGTAAAAGTAAATTCATGGAAGAATCATCAATGGATGTGAAAAGTTATTGGGTAAAAGTCTGAAGAACAGGTTATTTAGGGACTTCCCTGGTGGTCCAGTGGCTAAGACTCCATGCTCCCAATGCTGGGGGCACCAGTTTAATTCCTGGTCAGGGAACTAGGTGCCACATGCTGCAACTAAGAGTTTGCACGCCTTAACTAAACAGCCTGCAAACCGCAACAAAGGTTGAAGATCCTGCACAATGCAACTATGATCTGGTGCGGCCAAATAAAATTTTTTTAAAAGAAAAAGAACAAGATATTTATATGGTCTCAACAAGTATCTCCCCCACAGACTGCTTAATAATTACAAAGGGAAAAAGAGTCTAGTTCATAGTGAAGAAAATGAACAAATACAACCTTCATGTGCCTCCTGGATGTGACGCTCAGAGGACACATTGCTTCTGTGATATTCCTGTAGAAAATGCATAATCTGAATCTAATCATGAAGAAATATCAGACAAATCTGAATTGAGAGACATTCTGCAAAGAAAGTGTCAAAATCATGGAAGAGAAAGAAATCGCTCTAGTTAAAAGAGGCTCAAGTGATGTTAGATTGCATCACCAACCCAGTGGACATGAATTTGAGCAAACTCCAGGAGACAGTGAAGGACAGGGGAGTTTGGCATGCTGCAGTCCACGGGGTCGCAAAGAGTCGGACACAACTTCAACAACAACAACAACAAAAGTGACAGGACAACTGTTTCAGGTGGCATTCCTGCACACCCCCCGCCAAAAAGTAAAGTTGAAGTCATAACCCCCAGGACCTCAGAATGTGATCTTCTATAGAAAATCTTCAGAGGTAACCACGTTAAAATGAGATCATTCCTGAGGGCCTCATCCAGTATGAGAAGTATCTTTCTAAAACGGGAAAAGTCTGAACAGGGACGGGCATGCACAAAGGGAGGAAGCCCGGCGAAGATGAAGGCAGAGATACTACACAAGCCAAGGAAAACCAACAATTGCCAGCAAGCTATCAGAAGCTGAGAGGCATGAAGCAGGTTCTCATTCACAGCCTCAGAAGGAACCACCCTGCTGACACCCTGACTGTACACTTCTGGCTTCCAGAATTCTGACACAACAAATCCCTGTTGCTTAAGCCACTTTGTCTGTGGCGCTTTGTTATGGTAGTTCTAGCAAACTAATACAGCTAAATATAACTCAAGATCCATGGACCTTGACTGGGAGGAAAAAATTGTGACAAAGGACTTCATTGGACAATCGTAAGTCCACAGAAAGGTTTGGAATAGTATTGTATCAACATTGTGTCCTTAATTTGATAACTGCCATTCTCCTGTTCACTTCTTCCATTTACGTGGGTCCTTGACAGGGAGAGGAAATAGACAAAAGAGGATGATGTTTCAATCAGAACCAAGTCCTATAGCTTTAATACCACCTACCAGCCACCCTCTCTATCTCTTAGAGCCCCATTGTCTTCCATTTGCTCAAGCCCAGGAGTCATTCTTTTTTTTTTTTTAGTATCTATTTATGTATTTATTTCTTTTTTTTGGCTGCTCTGGGTCTTAGTTGCCACACAGGATCTTTGCCATTGCCTGTGGATCTAGTTCCCTGACCAGTGACCCAACACAGCCTCCCTGCATGGGGAACTTGGACTCTTAGTCACTGGACCATCTGGGAAGTCCCTTGTTGTTCAGTGGCTAAGCTGTGTCCAAATCTTTGCGGTCTCATGGACTGTAGCACACCAGGCGCCTCTGTCTTCCATGATCTCCTGGAGTTTGCTCAAATTCAAGTCCATTGAGTTGGTGGTGCTATCTAACCATCTCATCCTCTGCCATCTCCTTCTCCTTTGCCTTCAATCTTTTCCAGCATAGGGGCTTTCCCAGTAAGTTGGCTCTTTGCATCAGGTGGCCAAAGTATTGGAGCTTCAGCTTCAGCAAAAGTCCTTCCAACGAATATTCAGGGTCGATTTCGTTTAGGACTGACTGATTTGATCTCCTTGCTGTCCAAGGGACTCTCAAGAGTCTTTGCCAGCACAATTTGAAAGCATCAGATCTTTGGTGCTCATCCTTCTTCATGGTCCAACTCTCACAACTGTACATGACTGGAAAAACCACAGCTTTAACTATATGGTCCTTTGTTGGCAAAGTGAAGTCTTTGCTTTTTATTATGCTGTCTAGGTTTGTCATAGCATTCCTTCCAAGGAGCAAGCATCTTTTAATTTCATGGCTGCAGTCACCCCCCTCAGTGATTTTGGAAGTCCCTTAACCACTTCTTATTATAACTGTTAAAATTATAAGTCTCCATTGGCCCATAGTGCCACGTGGAGTCTGTGCCTGTTTCGCCATCACCCTTCCTCCAGCTCACCTTCACCTCAGAACACATTTGCTTTGTCACAGACTTGAACAGGCTTCCCCAGACTTTCACGTGGCTGGATCTCTCTCCTCAGCTCTCAGGCTGTCTATCTCCTTGGCAAGACCGGCTCTGTCCACCTCATCTAAAATGGCATTCTCTCCACCCCTAGTCACTGCATCCTCAGTGCAGTCCACTAAATAATAGAGTTTCAAGTAACAAGATCTGTTTACTTGAGTAATGTGGATGTCTCCCACTAGCTTATCAGTTCCAGGAGGGCCATGACTTGGCATGCTCCCCGGTATAGCCCCTGTGCCTGACAGTGTCTGGAAAACTATTAGATATTTATCAGATGCATGGATATATTCATGAAGAAGAGAGTGAAAACCAAAACCATTTACCACCCCCCCACACACACAATCAGGCCATTCACAGAGAATCCAGACTACATCTTACTGCCCACATTAACTTAACTTCTTGGTGTTGAGTCTTCGTTAGCATCTTTTACTATTCCCGACTGTCCAGTCCAGAAACAGAGTTTGAATATCAACACCTAGCTTGTTCACTGAGATTTTCTGAGTTCCCCTGCCTTGCCCTTTCTGCTAATTTTGACTGTTGTGCAGTGGTTTGTACCAAGTCTTAATCAAAACCCTGAACTAAGAGACTCATCTTAAAGAATTGATGCTTTTGAACTGTGGTGTTGGAGAAGACTCTTGAGAGTCCCTTGGACTGCAAGGAGATCCAATCAGTCCATCCTAAAGGAAATCGGTCCTGACTATTCATTGGAAGGACTGATGTTGAAGCTGAAACTCCAATACTTTGGCCACCTGATGCAAAGAGCTGATTCATTTGAAAAGACCTGATGCTGGGAAAGATTGAGGGCAGGAGGAGAAGGGGATGACAGAGGACGAAATGGTTGGATGGTCTCACCAACTCAATGGACATGGGTTTGGGCGGACTCCAGGCGTTGGCGATGGACAGGGAGGACTGGCGTGCTGCGGTTCATGGGGTCGCAAAGAGGTGGATACAACTGAGTGACTGAACTGAACTGACTATAGAGTAGGAAATGGCAACCCACTCCAGTACTCTTGCCTGGAGAATCCCATGGACAGAGGAGCCTGGCGTGCTACATACAGTCCATAGGGTCACAAGGAGTGGGACATGACTTGAGTGACTTAGCACAGCACAGCAACTTTGATTAGTTTTTTGGTGCTCCTCTTTACTGTGTCTGAAGTGAATGCCTCACTCACTTTACCTTATTCTCAGCACTGTTATTAAAAACTGATGCAATAAGAAACAGATTATTAACTAGATAGCTTTAAAAACATGATTAGGAAAAAAGGGAGGGGCGGAATTAGTATGTTGTTTAAAGTTACAAAGGTAAGTGAGAGATAAAGGAGATGGGTAGTGTGCCGTATCTTCATTACCACGGCATAAGGTCAAAAGATAACTAAAGTGAGCAAATCAAGAAATACTAAGTATTTTACTTCAATATTTAGGAATCAAAACTAAAAACACAATTTATTATGATTCAAAGTGGCTGCCTCTGAGGATGAGGAAGTTCTGCTTCTCATTAAAAATCCTCCTATTCTAACATTTTTTAATGTGTGCTTTTTACTACTTTGATGAGGAGGATTGTGAAAATGAAACTGGATTCCAAGACCTCTAAGCACACCTGGTGCTTCCCAGGTGACTCAGTGGTTAAAGAATCCAACTGCCAAGGTAGGCTCGGCAGGAGATGGGGGATTGGATCCCTGGGTGGGGAAGATCCCCTGGAGGAGGAAATGGCAACCCGCTCCAGTATTCTTGCCTGAAAAATCCCTCGGACAGAGGAACCTGGAGGTCTGCAGTCCGTGGTGTTGCTGAGTCAGACCCAACTGAGCACACACAAGCACACTGACAATTTGTCTAAGTCCACACTCAGTAGTCATGTACGGATGTGAGAGGTGGACCATAAAGAAGCCTGAGCACCCAAGAATTGATGCTTTTGAACTGTGGTGTTGGAGAAGACTCTTGAGAACCCCTTGGACTGCAAGGAAATCAAACCAACCTGAATATCAATAAAGGAAATCAACCCTGAATATTCATTGGAAGGACTAATGCTGAAGCTTCAATACTTTGGCCACCTGATGCGAAGAGGCAACTCATTGGAAAGTACCCTGATGCTGGGAAAGATTGAAGGCGGGAGGAGAAGGGGAGAGCAGAGAATGAGATGGTTGGATGGAATCACCGACTCAATGGACACGAGTCCGAGCAAGCTCTGGGAGTTGGTGATGGACAGGGAATGCTAGAGTGCTGCAGTCCATGGGGTCGGAAGGAGTCTGACAGGACTGAGCGACTGAACTGAAGCCCCCACCCAGACTCATAAAAACGCGGGGTCGGGGGAGCGCTAGCTATCTCACGGCTCCCCCGCAGCCTTCGCCTCTGGCAGCAGAGATGCTATTATCTTAACAAGTGATGGTTGGAGCCTCTCGTCAGTGCGACCTTTTGCCTCCACTCTTGGAGGGTGTTGGGAAAACCCTACTACCTCCCCGAGCCAACTCAAAGAGCCGCAGCTCACCCGCTGCAGCCCTGGAACCCCTCTCCCCCTCTCACGTCCCCGGGAGGACTTGGCGCACCGACCCGGAAGCGGCGACTCGGGCGGGTCTAGGGGCGCAGGCGCGGTCCTCCTCAGCCGCGTGGTCCCGCCCCTTCCCAACCCCCAGGCGAAGCTGTGTGGGCGCGCGGGCGGCCGCGGGCCGCCTCTTTCCGCCCCTTGGGACCGCCTGACGAGTGACGGGTGGGTTGCTGAGAGCGTCTCGGTTCCCCCCACCCCCACCCCCACCCCCACCCCCACCCCCACCCCCACCACCTGGGCAATTCCTTGACCTTCTTCCGGGGTCCACTTGTCAGAGGGCTGATCTGAGGCGCCACTGGCCGAGAACAGCGGACTCGCCCGCCCCGGCGGCGCCCACAGCGTCACAGCCACCGCCTCACGCCCCGCCCGCTGTCGGTCACGCGCCTTGGGGCCGCGGTGAAGGAGAAGGGGCGGGCCGGGGCGGGCCGGGGCGGCCGGGGGCGGGGACTCGCCTTGTACTGGGGCTGCTCTTAGTGCCGGCCCCGCGCCGGAGCTGCGGACTCCCGCTGTCGCCGCTGCCACCGACGCCGTCTCAGCCGCCGCCTCGGCCCCCCGCTGCCTCAGCCGGCCGTCACCATGAATCAAGACCTGCAGAAAGAGCGGGCCGGCGCCAGCTTCAACCCGGAGCTGCTCACGAATGTCCTGGACGGCAGCCCCGAGAACACTCGGCGTCGCCGAGAGATCGGTGAGAGCAGCGGGCAGGCCTCCTCCCCTCCTTTCCCGAGCAGAGCTGGCGGTTCCCTCCGGGAGGAGTCGGGGCTGTGGGGCCCTGTAGGGCCTAGGCCACAGCCTCTGGCCCAGCTTTAGGGGAGCCACGGGGCCCCCGCACTTCCATGGGAGGCTGTGGCGGGGGGAATCGCCCATCGCGAGAGAGGACCTCTGCCCGTGAGTCTGAAACCTGCTGTTATCCAGAGAGCTTTAACGGAGCCGTGAATTACTTGTCTTCCTCTTGGTACCCTTTAATTCCCTTTCAGAGAACCTCATTCTGAAAGACCCAGACTTCCAGCATGAGAACTTGAATTTCCTCAGCCGTAGCCAGCGTTACGAGGTGGCTGTTAAGAAGAGTGCCACCATGGTGGAGAAGATGAGGAAGTTTGGCATCTCAGATGCTGATGAAGTGTTGTGGTTTAAAAAGTAGGTATGCTTTAGCTTAAGAGCGAGGGCCTAAGCCTGAACCTTGAATTCGCCATCTGTGGTATCCTTTTTCATAGTGTTTGGCGTTTGAAGACTCAAATTCACATCTTTTCATGCCATTTTAAAGTTCTATGTGTGGACAATAATGTTTACTTTGATATTTAAGCCTTTTAAAGGGCTGACGTTTGTAGAAAGCTTGTCGTAGAGATGCTGTAATTTTCTTTCTCAAGAATCATACACTGAAGGTCCAGACCTCTCAATTTTGAGCGATTTAAATGTAGAATGACTTTGCTTCTTCTAAGAAGGAGGCCTGCTAAATTTGGAAGCTAAATTTAGAAGGATGTTTTCCGTTGCAAAGACCGAACATTAAATATTTTGGAGCAGTAACAGATTGTATTTTCATATAGTAATGTAGCTCTTGAATTTAAAATAATGGAAAATATGGATGGATGAGGAAGAACTTTAGTCAAACCTCAGAATGGATATGAAGTATTCTGAGAACCCCCAGCTTTGTTAAATCTGGTGAGGGTATTTAAATGGCCCTCCTGTGTAAATGAGACCTCATAAAAATGGTCCTACTGCTGAAAAGAGTATGTTCTTTTTTCAAACCATCTTTTTGTTGTGTTTTTAGTTAGAAATAAGACACACTTTTTTTTTTGCCTTTATGTAAATATACACTATAATTGCATAATGTTAGTATGATTCCTTTGACTTGCAGCATCTCTTCTCATTTATTATTGGGCATTTCCTGTTTTAGGTCTCTACATTTTTGCAGAACTCCAATATTGTCATCAATAGAGAGTAAATGATTTGGATGGTACATATTCAAGAGCCAAGAAAAATGAAACAATGAAACATGTACAGGCTCTTGTCTTTATGTTGCAATAGGCATTCCTCCCTTACACAACTGCCTGCCAACTGATACTACATGGTATCTGTTTTTGAGTTTTACCTGGTTATTATTGTCAAGAGGAAATTTACTCCAGACCACACTCAGAACTTCTTTCCATTTTAGTTATAAAAACAGTTAATTTGGTAGCCCAGTCAGAGTACTTACTAACATCCAAGTGCTCTTTTTTTTATTTTTTAAAGTTTGTAACTTGTGGCTGTGAGGATATTAAGGTGGAGTAACTCCTAGAAAATTACGTTTTCTGATTTACCTGAATTGAGTTTGTGAACTTATAAAATTAGTATAATTTGATTTTTCCTTAAAACAAGAGGTTTGTTTTGTTTTACTTTTAAATGGCTGCTGCCATGTGTTTCAGGGTTAGTTAGACTTCATAATCTGTGGTGATGTGTAATGTGTAACTAGACTCCAGTGAAGTCACAGTGACATAGAACACAGTCCTTTGTGTGAGTTAAAGATCAGGGGACACCAGCCAGTTTTTTTGGCTTTTGTTTTTTTTTTTTTCTGTATTATATTTTATGACTCAGGCCTCACTATTTGGGAAAAAGACAAAATACAACCTTTGGCAGGCCCTGTGACATCCTTTCAGTATTTCTGGGATGTGACAGGAAGATCAGTGTTTGTTAGAGAATGTTTCATTAGTCTTGGCAATTACTGAACACCATCGATTGTTACTCACACTTGTGTTTTATGTATCACTAACAAACTTAACTGTGATGTACCAGTAATTGTCATATACATTGGATGTCTTAAACGCTAAAATTGGCTTTGGGGAGAGGGATGCTATAATTAATGAAATATAGTAATATTTCTCTTTCTAGGCTTTTGGGGCATTTACTGGTCTCTTTTATATCCAGTTTCCCTATCACAAAATGAAACATGAGAATATTTTGAAACTGAGTAAAATATTAGTAAAGTACTTTGAGATTTCTCAACTTAAGCAGTAGAAGAATTCTTCTCTCCATTCCTTGAGGAAGTAAGACTTTGCTGTTTGGGGTATATACAAATTCCTTTCCTGATCTCCTTTTCTGTAATTTTGTCTTTTAACTATACTGTTGGCTATGTAAAAACTAAAGTATTTTTAAAGTAGCAAAATTCTAATGCAAACCAGTCATTTTTTTTTTTAATCCTTCTTAGGTTTTTAAAGCTAGTTCCTTGAAAAGCGTCTTCAGGGAGTATTAAACATAACTTAAAACAAGTGCTCAGATGTTGTTCTTTAGTTAACTTCAAGAGGCCTCAAAAAAAAATCTCAGTATGTCAAAAACATAACTATTTGACAGTCTTTATTTTGTGTCACATATTTTTTCCCTCTCAGTTTTCTAGAATTAATTATTTTGTATCAACATCAGCACTTTACCAACCCAGAGCCTCCTCATTTCCAATAAGGGAATGGCCATGTCTATATTGCTACTGTTTTTAGCAACTAAATTACTGCTTTTATTTCTCAGAAATTCTTGCAGGTTCATTTCCTCCTTCAATAAAGCATGGCTATTAGGGAGTGCTATGGTGCCCTTGCCTTTGAAAGGCTAGTTTTTACATTTACCTCCACATTATCCCACCTTAGTGAGATGGGTATGTTTTTTGCAAAGCATCTTACTTCTCTCTCTAGAACAGCTGCTGTGAGAGTTACCTAGAAACTCACTCACCTCTTCTGTTCCTCTGCCTCCTTTGCCCTCTTTCTCTCATTGCAGTCTAAATTAACATTTAGTATTTGTGTGAAAATCAGAGAACTCAGGGTTAAAAAGCATTTTTGATGTTGGCTAGTCCAGGCACTCCTTGAATGTTTGAATCTGTCCTCAGCACCCTTAAAAGGTGGTGGTATGATTTTAGGGCCTCCCCAAAAGTGAGTTGGCAGCCTACCCCCTCATTCTCTTGAATTTATGCTCTGCTTGCTCTATAGGCCAGGACAGGGTGGTGGTGACACTGCCTTCTGCCATCCCTTGAAACCATCATGAGGGTCAGTTAGATGATGCTTACTTTGTGCCTTAAGCTGTTTATATAGACAGAGCTGACAAAATAGACCCCTATAAAATCTCTAACCTGGCATGGCCGAGGCTGACTAGTGTATATGACTTGTATTGACTACTTCACAGATTCTTTTAGGGGAAAATCATTAAAGACTGAATTTCATTAAAATTCGAATTCCCTTAATCTGGACTAATTTTCAGAGACCCTTTGTGATTTTTAACATATTCACACATTACCTGCTTTACCCGTCTGTAAGCTCTGAAGACCTTTATAGATTTGTGCTTTGGCCCCAGAATGTATACATGCTATCCTGGACATTTGCTTTGGTTACTATGGAAAAATAGTTTAAATTATTCATCTTTAGGACATTTTGTTAACAGCTCAGCAAATGTAAGTGTTCTGTGGAGTTTCTTTTGATTTTCAAGACAAGTAAAGCCTAAAAATAAAGCAAAAACGCATACTTATGTTCCAAGAAATCAAACCAACAAATAACACCAATAAAATAATAAAAGAGGTCTGAGGCTAAAACATGGGTAGAATTTGCTTCCTGGATTAAGTGTGAAATTCAGAATCCTGGCCCTGAAGTGACTAGGGGGAGAAGAGATACCACTAGATTCTGCTGTTGGCTTTTTAGGTAGCATATGATAAATATGAGTCTTAATTTCATAAGAAAGGGGTTAAGTTTGTCTAACCTTCATCCTCCAGGCCAAACGTGTCTGGCAAGAATGGTGGTAGAATGCAGTTTCTAGAATAAGGCTGAGAACCTTTTCTTTTCTCTCCTGTAGACTACATTTGGTCAATTTTGTGGAACCTGTGGCCCTCAATTACTCCATGTTTATTCCTACCTTGCTGAATCAGGGCACCACTGCTCAGCAAGAGAAATGGCTGCATTCATCCAAAGGACTCGAGATAATTGGCACCTACACCCAGACGGAAATGGGTCACGGTTAGTCCACATTTGAGGGTCAGTGGGTAGCCCAGTCAGGTCTTCAGCTAACAAATGACTCCGGGCATTTGACTTTTTTTTTCCCTGCTGGAATTTTATTATTAAATTGATAAATCTTAAAGTTCAACCTGTTTCCTCATAGTTTATTTCCCCATAAACTGGTCCAAGATGCTGGCCTGAAAGACCTATCATTGTTATTTTTTACCGTTGCTGTGTACACCCAGTTAAAATGGGTGTTGAGCAGTTTGGAAAGGTGGGGTTGAAAATATGGCCAAGTGCTCCATTGTGTGGGTGTCTTATTTAAAGACTTAGTTGGAAGTTCTTAAGAGGCTTCATGCCTCAGCAACCTGTGGAAGATGCTTTGCTTTAATGAAGTTAAAAATGTGGATTTTAATGAGGCAGAGGGTTAAAGTGGTGAAGGCTCTTAGGGGGTTTGGAAAAAAGTCCATGATGCTCTTCATTTCATTTCTTTTTATTCATTTTTCTGTACCTGCCCATGGACTTTGAATTACCAGGAATTCTTGAAAAGTTTTTGTGTTTGGTCTTGTGAAACAAGTTTGTTTTCATAGACAAGGCCACTGATGGCCTTAAGGGTCTCGAATTTGAGCTGCCCAATGTCGTTCCTAATTATCAAAATGTTTCCCTCATGTAAATAAAGCAAAGAAAGGAAGGAAGAAAGGATGCAGATATCAGGGACATTCCTCTTTTGTGTTTGATTTGGTGTTTTTGGCTTGTGAATTGGTTTAAGTAAATGTCCTTTCTCATAATGCCTATGGGCACTGCAGATCCTGGTCATGGGGCAGTATTATGAACACCCTGCCAGGCACTCCAGGATGGTCAGCACTAAGATGACAGACCTGAGGGAAGATGTCCTAAGGGTAGAAAGATCACATTCCTACAGTGTTCCTCTCTAGGAGTGTGTGTGGGTGTTTCGTAATCTTGAAATAGCTTTATGGTACAGAATCCTTTTTTGTTTGTTTGTTTTCAAATTCGTCATTGAATTTATTTGACTTTAAGAGGCATACTGTTTGCCAGAGACATTAGATGTAAACTACTGTGAAACTAAATGAGTCTGATCTGTGTATCTCTTGTTGGTCTATCTTATCCTTCTGCCTCTATTTATGAGGTATATTTCCCATGTATATTTGAAGGAAGAGAAGAAGAATTAAAGACTTAAAA